TGATTTATGTACAAGAAGCAAAATACCAGGCTCTCTCAAATACACAAATATAACGTGGCGCACAGCAACATGAATTAGAAAAAAAATCCCATTAGCCTCTGTCCGTGCAAGGGCAGGGAAAGTAATATGTCTGGGTGGCCAAGCAGAAGATATGCAATAATTCCAGAGCTGCACATTTTCAGCCGTCAGAATAATCTATTGGAAGCCAGTCAACAGTGAGAGTGCCACTCTCCCTCTCTTCCTCTCCCTCGGTGTGTTTGTGTGTGAGACAGGGGCAAATGTAGTGCGATGTCAGTCTACAGCAAACTCCAAGCACAACAGTTTACAACCCATGTACAGAGAGGTAAGAAAGGAAGGGAAAAAAAACAACGCCAGGCGAGGTGATTTAGCAGCAGGTTGTATATCAACCACACAGGGACGCACATAGTCCTTGACTGTCAGGAGAAGAAAATAGTACCTTTAACTGCCCTTACTCCTACCTCCTACCCCTCCTCCTCTAGCCTTTATTACCACCATCTATCTGCCTACCTATTCATCCATCTGTCCATCCAACCAACCAGCCATCCATCTTTCTTCCCTATTTTACCAAACGGAGCGGTACATGGCTGCATGATTGAAACACATGCAGCTGAACATCACTTCTGATTTTATGGCCCAGACTTCAGGAGAGGGGGAGGGAAGGGTCTGAAGAAAACAGAGGCAATGGCCGACCTGTTGCTTGCACATTAGAGTCCAGCTGAAATTGCATTGCTTATTTTGTTCCTACAGCATACAGTAGTGGTCTGCAGTGGCCGTGAAACAAAATTGTCTCAGGTGATCGTCCTTAAATAGAACTATGACATTATTATTTTCAATCTCTATTATGGAACTGGCTTTTTATGCATTAACCAGACTGCTACTCTTTCTCAATCTGAGTATTGGAAAGTTTGCAAAAAGTTTTCCCCTGCTCCATTTTTATTTTCCTTTATTGTCTCCTACTACCATTTCTGAACCTGAACTTCAATTCCTTGCAGTGTTTCTCTCCACACACTACACATTATAAATATATATGTGTTCAAAAAAAATGTCTCACGCACCCATCACTGTGATGCAATACAGAAAGAATATGAACTCCATCAATCTTGTGTTACACCTTGGCTTGCTGAACAAGCAACCAGCCAAACATCTGGCGGAGAAAGTCATGCTGATAACATCAGTCATACATCACACAGGCTAGATGCAGACCCTGTATTAGCAATTATACTACAGCATAAAAGTCTAGCTACAAATACAAAGACTGGTCAATTTAGAGGCACATTTTTGAGGTCCTATAATCAGCATCACTGCAAATAAATTAATCATGTTTCATTTTTTATTTGTCAAAACAAACCGAATGAATCAACACAGCATCCTGCTTCCTGCCAGCTCTGCTTAATTATGTCGGCCTCCTCCATGGGTAGTGCCGGGTACACCTTGCAACCTCTCCAGTAACCAAACCACAGGCTAGGTTCAATTTCGTGTTCTTGCATAACAGTTGTAGCCACATCACACATCAAAGTGAAAGGGAGAATCAGATGCAGTGCCCCAGTGTCTCCCAAGATCTTAACTGCCTACTCCTTTACACTGGGAAGGAACACACAACAGAAATAGATGAAGCATAAAATTTTTTGTCTTAATATTCAAACATACTGGGACAGAGGAAAATGGGCGTAGATTAAATTTGGAGCACAAACTGAGCTGCAGCAGCAGGTTTTACTGGTGCACTACTGCAAACCTTAACTTTCCTTTTAATGGCAGAGCCAAATAGGTTGGCAGTAATGGCACCAGAATTGTTTTTCTGCCTAGTACTATACTGAGGTGTGGAAAAACTGGCCTCACCAAAAGTATTATGAGTAAAGATGTATTCATTAGCCAAAACTGGAGGAGAGTGTATAGCAGAACATTATACTATACAAGTTATTTCAGTGCTACAAGATCACACAAATCTTGAAAAGCTTTGAGCTCTGATGGACCGATTGATGGATGCGTGGATTTTACTTGCTAAAAGAAACTCCAAACGCCAATTAACCTATCCCCACTACTGCATGTTTTTGGACTGTGGGAGGAAGCCGGAGCACCCGGGGAGAACCCACGTAAAACAAACTTCCTTCCAGTTCGCAAGGGCAAAGAAATATATTTGGATTTTAATTCTGCTGACCTGTCTGCCTCTCACCCACCACATTTTCACCATCAACAACCCAATTACACAGCTTTAACACGTCCAGTACAACAAACAAAAGTGAGACATGTTGAGAGTCCGGCAAAATGATGATCACATATTCATCATGTTGATGTTGCCCACTTGTCTCATCGTAGATTAGCTATTGATTGTCAAGAGCACATCACCCCAGCAGGTCAAGTTGATCCGTGCAGTGTTCAACAACTCACTTGAGGAGTGAAATGAGATTTAAAAAATTATTGCTTCTCTTCCTGTTTGGCTGCACATTATTGACTAAATTGCGAACCTGTCCTCTGTGCCTGGGAGTTAAGAAACTAATAATGCCTTTATATCGCTGTGCCCTCCCAAGTGCTTTCAGACTGACCAAACACCACAGTGGCGGTTCCCACTAATTACTATATGTTCGTCCGGGGAAGAATTAACAGCTGAAACCTCCTGGAGTGTTTGATTATGAAGCAAATCTGCACAATTTTGTTTGGGTGATTCATTATTATAGATGGGATCAGAAAATTACTTTTACGACATGAAGGGCTTTTAACTTTTAAAGTATGTTTTAGTTTTGGACAGACCGCCACTCACTGAAGAGGAGCCTGAAAACCAACGTCAACTAACAGTTCATTGCAGTGCCCTCTGAAATAAACTGCAGAATGACCCTTAATTAATAAAGACCAAGGTCAGCTTATTCCCTTAATAGCTTCACCTTGTACTAGCACTCATTTGCCAAAAGCAGCTTAGTGTTAATGATAGATATATTTGTTACTAAGATATGCTACCTCATTGAGTACACCTGTTCAGCTGCTCAGCAATGCAGATATCGAATCAGCCAGTCGCATAACAGGAAGCCAATGTCATCAGCCACAAAGACAATGTGAAAAAGAACTGAAGGTCAAACAGAGAATTAGATTTGGGGGAAAAAGGTAGTTCACATGTATAGTTGTTAATGCCAGACGGATCGGTCTGAGTATTTTCCCCATACGACAATCTCTAGGTTTTACAGAGAATGGTCTGAACCAGAAAACATATCCAGTAAGCTGCAGTTCTCTCGGTGAAAATACCTTGATGATGCCAGAGGTCAGAGGACAAGGGTCTTATGGGTTTATGGCTGCCTTCAACAAGATAATGCACCATGTCAAAAAAGCTCAATCATCTCAACCTTTTTTGTTGAACATGACAATGAGTTCACTATACTCAAATGGCTACTACAGTTACCAGAATTCAATCCAACAGAGCTCCTTCGGGTTGTGTTGGAATTTGGACATTTGCATCATGGATGTGCAGCCAACAAGTCTTTGTGATGCTATTATATCAATATGGAGCAAAATCTGTGAGGGATGTTTCCAGGACCTTGTTGAATCTGTGCCATAAAGAATTAACCCTCTCAGGCTCAAATTAAACTTTTTTTTTACTAATGCACAACCAAGTCCTGCAGTGGTACTTCCGAGTAAAAAAAACCTCATAAAATATGTATGTGGGGTAATCAGCTTGTTCGTTTTTAACTGTTGCAAATCGGCAACGCCTGCCTTGAGAGGGTTAAGGCATTTGGAAGGCCAAGCTGGTATTAGAAAGACGTATCTATCAAAGGGCATTTTTAAATGAGTGCATTTTGTATCCTTCAACAGATCTGAATCCCCACTAGAATTCAAAGTAAAAGATAAAAAAAATAAGTAGCTTGAATTTACAACTGCACAGAATCAGTTTATGAGTTAATTCACAGAATCAATATCCAACCGCTTAGTGGTTAGCAGATGTCTGTTCTGAAGCATCAAGCTTTGATTTCTGAGACTACACCAACAGCAGAGTTGATCTGATTGAGAAACTCAGGGACACTGTGACTTTTCAATTACAGGGTAGCCAGACTGTGAATCATATCTTGTTTTCTATTCTGAATTTCACTCTAAATGAGATTATAATTCACAAAATTAGCATCATTTTGTATTAAATACTTTTTTTCTAAAGTTATAGCCTCAGTAGTTTAATGTTTAAAGTAAGCAATATAGTGTTTTTTGTATAGGATGTTGTGTAATTCAACTTCTGGCCCCTGCTAACCATTCAACAACATGCTGGTTTAAGGCACTTGTCTCATAACCATATACATAGATTTGTAATGTAGCCTTTTTGTTTTTTAGCTACACTGCTCACATCCAGAGAGCAATTAATAATAACTTTAATTAACAATGTGCTTAACCAAAATTTCCTGACTCAAAGCTGACCTTTGACCATGTTGAGTATAATGCAAACAGATTGGAATCCAGTGAATCAGTGAAATGTGTATCAGTTCATAATCACTGAGTCTTCAAATCTGATAATCATGTCGCACTGTTCTGCTGTCAGGGTGTTGTTTTAGACGCTACTCAGAGCACTTTGAATTTTAGACATGAGCATGAGAAACAGTTACCATCCCGAATCTCTACATAGAACTAAAAATGAATGTAATGGAGCAAACTGCACTACAGCAACACGCTGCAGACCCTGGCACAGGTGCCTAAAATATGACTGAGGATTGTAAAATTTGTAGGAATGTTAACAATTAAATGCCTACATTATGCAGCTTGCCATTCAAGCAAAGATCTTTCACTTGACATTAAATGTATGCATCACAGCAATGAAACAGACAGCTAATAATTTTAAATCAGCACTGCAGTGAACCTCATTAGACTAAATGCTTTTGGCAATTTCTGATACAAACAACACAGCAGTGAAGCAGCTTTGATTGATTTCAAAGTCAGCGCTCGCCTAATGATTATAATGGTGTTTTTTTAAAGCCCTATAAAAATTATTGTTACTCACTGCATGTGTGACTTACCTGAAACCAGGTGAAACTATGACACAGCTGCCCGACTTGAGCCAGATGCAGTAAGGGTCCCGTAAGGACAAACAGCTTCTGCATAATAGAAAGACAGACAGTTAATGATAGAAGGAAACATGAAGAACAGCATGCATGCAGACAGTGGATGTTAGTTGGGTAATGAGGCACTACCCAGCCACAAACCTAAAAAAGCCCCACATCCCTCAACTAACAAAGGGTAAAGAACTCCATGTGTAGGCTGGTTTGCACCACGTGGCTGAACATTTAATGTCTCATTAAGAAAAGACAGATAAGTTGAATAAACACATTTAACATGAAATTGCAGCATCCTCATTTTCTTTAAGTGTGGCTAAAACATCATTTACCAAGCAGCACTAATTGACGAAATAAAAGCAGAGTTACTGAAACTGCAGCATAAATCTTTACATCTTTATTTAATTTGCATAGAAACAGGGGGGTCCGAGGCTCAAGAGCTGCACTACTTTACTTCTAAAATCTGGTGTTATACAAATAATGTATAACATTCAAATAGAGTATAGCTTCAACTTTATGGTGGAATAATTATTCATACAATTAATCACATGCCTGTTATTGCTTCCAATAATACTGCATTCTCTACAACAGAAATTAATGTTGATACGCATACAAAGAGACAGAATTTAGATGGCAATCAGATTAGTTTGTAATTAGGTTGGACTGTAGACTTGTTTTTATCTGGCTATAAAAACACAAATAGACATTAGGGGATAAAAGAATGGTTTTGTGACATTTTGCGTGTCTCACAGGTTAAAAGTTACAACCAGCATCTGTTTTGTTTTGCATTATACATCAATTCTAAATCTAGCTAGGTTAAGTTAATTAGGGACATATGATGAATGTCAAGATTTTAGTGTAGTCACGCTGGCGAGGCATGCAGACTGCTGCAACAGTCAGCTGATACTATTTGCTTTAGTATAGAAACCTGGACCTGTTTACCTCTTTCTTATAGCAGTCAGCATTAACCTCACTTAGTCACAGTTCCTACAGTAAAAACTCCCTGCAGCATTGCAACATTCAGTACTTTTCTTCCATTTTGAGACCCACACATCAGTTTTGTTGATAAAACTCTAACACTGCATTCTGCACAAGTCTGTGGATGCAATTTTCCCTCTGTGTTGTATGAATCATGTGGCCTTCATACTTCCAGTATGCGTCTGCAAAACAACACTGGGTGTCAGTGAGCGAATGAACACAATTTTTCACAGGTGCAGAGCTTACTTTTTGCATGTGTGTGGTATTCACCCAGCAGCACCGACATAATGAGCATAAAGTACGCCCAAAAAGAATGACAAAAACAATAATGCTCTCCTGCTTTTCCCATCTACTGTTACTTTAGAGATATTTTTAGCCTAATTCCAAAGAAAAGAAAAGAAAAGAAAAGAAAAACAAGTAAACCTTCAAGGCAGACAAAAAAGCAAGTTCTAACAAAGATCCTGTGACCCGTTTTAAATATCTTTAAGTATTTACTGATGTCTCAACTGAACATGCAGGTGTGTGCAGCTGTGCCAACATATTACTGTGCCAGGTCAGGAAAACTGAAAGTCAAGACAGGACATATTCTCCCATTAGTACTTGTGCAATCTGCAGTTGCAAAGTGGGTATAAATAAATACACGGGCCAAAGCATTACACAAACTTTCTTTCTTTCTGTCTTGATTGAAACGACAATAAAAACTATCCCTAACCTTGAGATCATACGCATTAAGTGCAACACTTTACAAAGCAATACATGTAATCGTATATTTGAAGGAGGAATGTAAAATAATAACCATCCTAAATTCGGTAACTATATTCCAATTGCTACAGCAACAATTTTCTTCAATTATCTGCATACTGGGTTGATGGGAAAAACATGTACGATCACGTGGAATGGAAGATAAATAGATAATGCATGACTTTTTAAAGCTAAATCAAATGCACTGCAATAATGGTAATGTCGAGTGACAAAATAAAACATTTGTCTTTGTCTTTTAAAAGAGCCGATATTAGATTCTTTGAGCTGATGCCCTTATCAACAGGATGTCATGTGTCAGTGTCTTCCAGAACAGCAGTTAGTGTGCTGTGTGGATTAATTCAAACACCCAGACCTCCTCCTAATGTGGACCTTTGAGGCTCTACAACAATATCCTATATCTTTACCTTTCCTGCAACATAAAACACCCTCGATCCACATGCTTTGTCAAGAAAACAAAACATTGAGACATACAGATATAAACCGCTCGCTTTAGGCATTTTCACAAACAATTGCCACGGTTCTTGTTCTTGGGAGGACAGTACAATAATACAAAAGCCCTGTTGTTAATGTAGGTTTAGGCAAGGTCATATACTTGGCTATTTCTGAGTGCTTACCTCAAAAGTAGACTTGTATTTGTGTCTTTAGGCATGATGTAAACATGGTAAACCAACATCTTTTTCTTTACAGCTTGGAATATTTTTTATTCTGAAGGATAATTTATTTGCAATAAGAGAATCATTCTTGGTTGGAGGGGCTTAGAATATGAAGTGGCTGGAGAAATCATCATTGTCAGATGTCTATCTAAAAACGGTATACAAAAACCTAAAAATGCAGACACCATTGCATGTCTTCTTATGTTTCAATCCTCGTTTTGCTTGTGTTCAATGCAGGGCTACTGACACTTCAACATGCATGGGAAATGAAAAACAAAATGCCAAAATAAAAAACCCCAAAACTGAAGTGTTTTATTTGTTTTTGTCCAGCATCACAAATTGAAGCCCTCTAGGTATCAAGAACCTGAAATTAGCCTCATCCCCTGTGTGACTGCCAATATGTGACACTGTGTGCTGCATTAATACATTATTCGTACAGTCGCCATAGGGTCTGTATATACACATCTAACTGACTCTAACTCCCCTCTCACCGTCGTCATAGAGTTTCATCTACACTTACAGGTCAGAAACCGCCATCAGCACTACAGCACAGTCAGTTCTCCAGCTCTGATTTCAAAAGATGTGCAGTGAAGTCATTTGTTCTTTGTCGTAAGTGCAGTTTCTCTAAAACAGACTTGTGTGTGTCCCGTGCCACTCTTTAAAACTTCAGAGTTCTATCTGTCAAACTAAAGTGAACACAGTGGTGTGTAAGTCATGGTGTGTGTGTGTGTGTGTGTGTGTGTGTGTGTGTGTGTGTGTGTGTGTGTGTGTGT